TGCATTTTTTTGCAATAAAAATGGGGCATCAAACGGGACTCTTAATATTTATTGCTGACAATGGTCGACGATCCATGGTCACCCGTGCTAACTCGAAATTCTGGGTCCGCCACTGTCCAGAGCATTTCCAATGCAACATGAATTGCTATTTTTAGGGCTGGATATGGTCCAGTTCGGTTCTGAAGAGAACCGAAATTTTTGGATATTTAGTAAGTGAAACCGTCGGGTCCAAATTTAATTATGAAACCGTTCGGGTTCGGTTCAATTCGGTTCAGTTCTATTCGATCCCCGAGTTCTGTACAACAATTAATTTTTTAATATTTACAACAACGTTACATTAATTCGACTATGACATGTTCAATTTTAACTCTTACAAAATAACGTAGTCCCATCTGGTGATATCTTTTACACATTTCTTTGTTGAATTCTTCATAGATTTGACTGGTAAAATAGTAAGAAGAGGAAGATAATGAGTTCACAATAATATAACAGCAGAAACGACACTATGGTAGAATAAGAGATTTAGGTAAAATTTATGTCAATTTGATTAAGTTATGCTTGACTGAAAATTGAAAATAGTAAAATCATATTTTATGTTTGAGTTAAATTAATTAGTTAGCAAATTCATTTAGGAAAAAAATAAAATTTGACTTATTTAAGATAAAAAATTAGGGAGATTCGATTCTTATTCGGTTAACCGAAAATCGAACAAAACTCGTCGATTCTTGATTTAGATATCCATTCGGTTATTTAATTTAAGAAGAACCGCTCGATTCGATTTAGTTCGATTTGGGTCCGATCCGATTTGGTTTGGGAGTTTTGTCTCGCCCTAGCTATTTAGGTGATAATTAAATTGAAAGCCTTCTAGTATATTCGTCGTTGATGTCTATTGAATAAACATCCTTTTTTTTTTTTTTTGAGAAGAAAGATCATATATTCAGGCAAGCAAATGATGGATACAAAGATGGGGTTCTCCCAACACCATTCTCTCCTCAGAGAGTTTTAGTGCTTCCTTTGCTAAGGTATGAGCAACAAAATTAATCAATCTAGGAACGTAAACAACAGACCAAGATTGAAAAGAGCTAAGCATGTTCCTAGTGTCCTCAATCAGAAGCCCTGGGTAATTCCATAAGTCAGTGTCACCTTGAATCCCCATCACCACATTAAGTGCGTCGCCTTCCAGAATGATAGACCGCAACTCCAATTTTATGCAAAGCATCACAGCAACCAAAG